GTTGGGAGGGCGGCGTCCGCAGGTGAGCGGCGAGGGGCGGCAGCGGGAGGCCCGGCCTCGCCGGACGGGTGACCGTTGGGCGCGGGTGACCGTTGAGGGAGGGCAGTGCCGGGGTGAGCCGGGCCCCGGGTGCCTCCCAACTACAGGCCGCGGTGCTCACGGGTTGTACGGCACCGAACAGAGCCGTGGGGACGTCGTGATGCTGGTTCCTGCCTGGCAGGAAATCGATCTGGCTCTGGAGACCACGAAAATAATGCTTTAAAAAGCTCTGGGTGTTTGCTAGGCTCTCAGGTTACTTTCTTTGACAAGTGAAAAGGCATGGAGCAACTGTAAGGTTTCAGGTGAGAGAGCTGCTCTAAGGAAGACCAATTTTAATAATCATGCTAATTTGTTACTTAGGTGTTATAAGGACAGAAAAGCTTTTCATTTTTTAAGACATAGGGAGACAACGTGCGGAGTCTTGTGTTTGTCTTGAATGCAAATGAGCAGGATCTCACTTGAAAAGGTGAAATTATGGATGTATTTTTTTCACTGAACTATTGAAATGCCAATTAATATTATTTTTACTTAAATTTTAGAAGCCTCCCACTGAATTTTTTAAGAAGCAAATGCCTCTGGATTTCAGAACAGAATTGGTATGTATAAAGTTCTTGCAAAGACTTGCAGTTGAACAACGAATTGCATTCTGTTGTCAGGGAGTTTTTCTGTCTCCTGTAGCTGTAAGCCTGTGGAGGGAAGCAAGGGGGCGAGTAGTAAACCGTACGTGTTTGTGGAAAATCGATTTGTTGGTTCAGCCCACTTCTCTCCTGTAGAAACCTTATGGATAAGAGGGTATTAAGTAGATGCTCAAATTCAAGGTTAGAAACCTAAAGCTTAAGGTGGAGTTCTAAATAACCAGAAGTGGCTATAAAATACTGTGGTTGCGCAAAAGGTACTGCAAAATACTGTAGTTGTGCAAAAGGATGGGTGTATCTGGAGTAAGTGTTACTAATTTCATGTCAGAACAGACCTTTATTTGAAAATCCTTTCATACAAGTAATGTCTGAAACTTGTGCTGTTTAGTATTAGTGATCTGAATGAAAGGGCAAAGAAATACCTAATTCATTGATGGCACTGAGAAGGAGAGGGTTGCCAATGTGAAAAAAAGCAAAATATTCTGATGAAGTGGAAACAGCTCTGAAAATAGAGATTCTATTCATAAAGAATAGACAAAAGTTATTGAAAAATATTTCTGTAGGAAAGACTTTAGATGTTTTACTAATTTACAAGTTAAGATCAGTCTGCAGTAGATTGCTGCTCAGGAAAGACTAAGACTACCTCCTGTCTGGTTCTAGATAAAAAGAAATGTAACCTTCTGCTGTGTGGCAGAGGTGGTAAGAACTCAGCTAAGACACTGTATACAGCTTTGGGTGCACCTCATCAAAAGTGAGGGCTATTGGGAAGGGAGCACACAGCAGGAGCCCCAATATCCCTGTCTTGCAGAGAAAAATAAGTTTTGGCTGCAGAGATAGAGGGACTTGCATATTTTTTGAATCCGGTGTGGAGGAGCAGACAAGGGGTTTCAGTAGCCAAAGTGAAGAGCCATATTAAATAATGAGAGTTTTTAACTGTATCAAAACAGTGAGGCATGTTTGGGATGACAGTCATGACTTTTCCTTCACGAGGATTTCATGGCAGATTCTGGTCTGAATCCTCCATAACGAGGAGCAGCAGCGAATCATGCTGCACTTGGGCAACAGATGAAGTAAAGGGCCTGTGAAAGTCTTTTCTAGCTCAGTGACTTTATCACATTTGCCCTTAAGTCCATGTTTAGATGAGAAAACATAGGGTTCTAACATTTAAATAGCCTAACATATTTTTAAGCTAGTTCTAGAAGAAAAGATTTACTCGTGAGGGCTGGTGGCCAGGTAGGCTAAACAAGAACACTTCCCCGTGGTACTTCTACTGCCTGTAATTATGGCCACCACAAAACGATCAGCTTAGAAAGGCAATGACCTTTCCTTTAGCTGATAACTCCCTCTTGCTATAACATATTATTTCATCTTATCACTTTCTCGTGGCTTTGAGTATTTAGAAAGCCTGTCTATATTTGGTAGGATAAATATTCAGCATCTTTTGAGCTGTGCATCTATGTGCATTGCTTTTGGGAGAGGAGAATTTTTGAGCAAAGAGGAAAAGTGTTTCCTTGGTGATTTAGCCCAAGTTGTTTCTTGTATGCAGCTTTATTTGCCATTTGTGGTACTCCTTATTACATCCTAAAAATAAGCTTTGTTGGCTAATCTGGGCTTGTTGATGTCCTGGAAGTTTCCCCTCCCAAGCCCCAAGGTTTTTCTCCTTCATCCCTCCCTGCCAGCCGATCCTCAAATTCAGTGCCTTCCCTTGCTGTTCATCATGCTGTTGTGCACCTTCTGGGAGCTATGACTCCTGGTAGTAGCTGGACCACAGGCAGTTTGTAAGTAGATGGTTCTTCAAGGCATTTTAGTTGCTATTCCTTGTGCAGATAGGAAAGCTGTGGTCCCTCATTATGCAAGTCTTTGAAACCAGAGCTTTAAGCTACTGTTCTTCCACAAAACTGCTGCTAGTCTTGAGTGGATGAAGTATTCTGTGTGTTAAATCCATTGTGAACTTGGTTAAAGAGCCTTTTCAAAGCTGCACCAAATAAAAGTGAAGTGACTGTCAGCATTATTTCTCCTAAATCTTACAGCTTCTCTCCTGTGGTGGCTCTAGTTGCTGAAATACAGCAGTTCTGACATGTCCCAAAGCTGAAACTGGAGAGGAGTACAGATTCCAGAAATCATTTCATGTCGTTTTCTTTCCTTTGGAAATGAGAATTTTCCTAGATGGTACTTGTGAACATACATTAGTTCTTTTTCTTTTGCTAAATTTTGGGATTGTAGTTAAACTGTGTCTACCCCTGAAGCGCAGAACTTTGTGTGTCTCCTGTTGCTTTGACTTGGCAGCTCTACATGTCCATTCCACAAATGCAAACTCCATCTGCTCTATATGCAAAGTGAAGCAATTCTCATCAGAGAAGTGGCTTCACTGTGGCTGTGCTCTGCAAATGGGCAGCAAATGTAGACCTCTTTATAAACCTTAGACAGAATTATGGCCCTTTAGCCCTTGCAGAAATTGGACTGACCATTTCCAGGGAACAACAACAACAACAACAACAAACCTTGAAAAGAAGAACTAGGTTTTTTTTTTTTTTTCGTTTGTCCAAAGAGTGCTCAAGATTTGAAGATTGTTCATCTGGTCAATAAAGTGGTTGACAGATCAAAAAAAAATCTTTTATATGTTAGACTTGGGACTAGAAGGCAAGTAAAACTAATAGTTTCGAGGGTATACCCCTCAAATTTTAAGTTTAAATTCACAAGATTACCTTCTGTCTGTTAGTTTGCAGTTTTTCCTCATTCTTTTGCAATCAGATACAGAGGAAAGCAGCCTGTTGTTCCCTTGTCTCTAAAAGCCATGGCGATACCTGGGCAGAATTAAGTTGAGCTCTTTACTTCTGACAGAAGTGTTTTTGTATGGACAAAGTTGGGCAAGACAGGGAAGAGAGGCGGGGAAGGGGGGAAATGAAAGTAGTTTTGCCAGTATGGTGAGTTCTGCCTTAGTAAAAAGCTGCACTAGTAGCAGTATTCTTGCTTAGTGCTGTAACCAGAGTAACTTCTACTGGAAAAAATCAGTAGTGTAGAAAAGCTCAGCAAAAGAAGCCCTTTTCCAGTTCATCCTCCTCGCAGTGGTAATATCAGTATCACATTTTATATCAGCTGAAACTAGTAGACTATTCTTAGCTTGACTGCTTAAGTGGTGTGACTTGTAACTGCCGGAAAGGGTGGTAAAGAAAACAGTTTCAAAGGTCTCTCCTCCTCTCTCTCTCTTTCTCTCTCCTCTCTCTCTCTCTCTCTCCTTGCTTTAAGAAAGGGAACTACTTGATGCAGTTACTGAGGTGACTTGTTCTAGTCTGTCTCCCACATGAAGAATTCGTCTTTTGATATTAATTTGGTATTCTTATATGATACAAGAATCTATGTGTAATTAAAAAAAAAAAAAGAAATCACAAGAAAATGAAAGCAGACATTTGCCCTTCATTAGTATTTTCACTTTTGCCTTTTTTCATACAAAATAAGAGTAAAATTTACTATTTGAATATAAGGGGAAGAGAATTTCAGGGTTTGTTTTGTGTTGGTTTTTTGACTCCTTTTCCTTTTAAATCAAAAGCTTCTGTATACAGGAAATAAATGCTATTTTCAGAACATATGTGATTTGAGTTTCTGGGAAGTAAAACTTATTGATAGGTGTTTTCTCCCTTTAGAATAGGTGAAAACAGCCATATTTATTGATTGTCCTGAAATCAAAGCGTAAAAATTGTTTTCATTTCCTGTCACACTATAGAGGTTAATCAGATTGAAAATATTTGCAGTTGATTTTTTCAGATTAAAAACAATTTATAGACATCTTAAAGTCTTAGATGAAATCTGAGATGATGATCTTGTAGCATGTTGAGAAGAAAACATATACTAAAGTAAATTTTCTAGTCAAGTTAGGGGTGAAGAATCAAAAAGACTTGATTTTTATTCTAAAAATGAGTTTCTGCCTGTTGATGATGATCATCCCACATGACTAAATTTGGAATCCTAGTAGTCCTGATGAAAGCTTTTCAACAGTAAACTCGTAACTGCTATAATTGAAAAGATGCTTAATGCAGATTTTTGAAATTCTTTGTAAAATGTGTTCAACAGATGTCTTTTCTCATAGGTTTCCCTTTGAGTAGTGAGAACTGCCTGGGCAGGCATCTCAAGCCTGTATGTGTGAGAGAAGCTACTCTGTGATTAACCACCTGTTCTAATCTTCTCCTTCATTTTCTTTCTAGTGGGCTTATGTGGAAGAGATGCTGTGGTTTTCCTCAAACTGTGTTATAAACTAATTTCAATGTGAGTAATCTATCAGTATGAATCTGCAGGATATAGAACTGAGTATATAAAAAATACAGATTACACTTGAAAAACTTTTAATATTTTCCAAACACTTTTTGTTTGATTGGGATTTCAGTTTCAAAATTCTGGGTCAGATGCCCTTCTGGTGTTCAGACTTGTTAGATTTCTGCAAATTTCTCCCCCCCCCCCTTTTTTTTTTCTTTACGCTCTCTCTACTTACAGTAGCATGGTCTGCCTGCATTAGAATTGTGCACCATAAACCGTTGATGTTCTTTTTCCTGTAGAAAATACGTATTTCTATGAGATTTTTCATGATACAAATACATGTATTTTGTTCAGGTTTCAGTGTTGCACCATTTTGTGTTGAGTAACAGAAGTTCTGCGGTTCAGTGACCCATGTGACGGTCGTCAGTAGCTTTACGAGATGAGCCAAACTCGTGGGAGATATGACTTCTACATCGGGCTGGTGTTGGCTATGAGTTCCAGCATTTTCATCGGAGGGAGCTTCATCCTGAAAAAGAAGGGTCTGCTCCGGTTGGCTAGGAAAGGCTCCATGAGAGCAGGTAAGTGCATGTTCCAAGAAACTCGGTGCCATTCAAACTTTGTTGCTTAACAGAAGATTATTAAATTTCTCCTCTTGTTTTGACATTTTTTACTTGTTGCAGGCATCAGGAACGTGCAACATACAGCTGATGTGCTTTGTCCTCTAGTGTCAGATGCACCTGTCTGTGTGTGTGATGCATGCGGTTTCATTTGCTTTTTTGCCTTCTGGGAACATTTCTAGAAATACTTGTTTGCATGCGAGCTTAAGTTCGAATTGTACTTGTAACTTGAGCTTGAACCAGGAGCCTCTTCACCTACCCCTCTCTATTCCCAAAAGAATGATTTTTCAAGAGTGCAACTGTGTTTGAGTGTCAGGACATTGTTTTAGACAACTAAAAATCATGTGTAGAACTAAGATTTCTTCTGAAAAGCTGGTAAAATGGAGTTGCTTAAAACTCAGAAGAAGCAAGTCAGGAAGGTTGTAAATGGTGTTTTCAGTGATGAGTTAATACTTAGCTAAAGCAGCAAAACCCATTGTAGCAGACTGCTGTGCACAGTTCTGGCTTTATTTTGTTCAACTGCCTTTAATAATAGTAAATGACTTTTGGTGTAGCTGATACGATTTTGGGAACTGATTCCATTTGTTTTGCTGAAGTCGTGTTTCCCTCACACGCTTCCATAGCCTGCTCTGTATCTGGTAGAGGAGATGCATGCTTCAGTGTCTGGTAGAAAGGGATTTGCAGATCTGCCTACCACAGAGATAGACTCAGCCTAAGGTCGTCAAGATTTTAAAAGCCACCAGCTCCTCCACCCTCCTAGAATATAAGTAAGGAGAGGAATGAATGTTACAGGAGGTCAGAACTGCAAAAGAATACTGGCTTGGGAATAGGGTGCTCTTGGAAACCTGTACCAATGGCTGCAGTATCCTGGGGTCGTTGAGAAAGTTTTTAATTCACTGCCTTGCACTTCAGCTTCTAAAAGATGGTGGATTTTTCTGAAAGGGATAGAATTCACACTCCCTGTTCTGAAGGAAGAAAATGTCACTATACATTGCTGATTACATTTTCAAACACATTGAGCAGTATTTCCAGAAAATGGATCTCTTAAGAAATATGTAATTTGGACTTTCATGTGTTAAAGAGCTGAAAGAATTCTCTTTCAGGGTAAAGCAGATATGGTCCCCAGTGCCATTTCCAATACAAATAAAATAAGTAGTTTTCAAAGTAGACTGTTGGAGGCATCTGTACATCTGATGGAAGATGATTTGATGTCAATTCCTCTCACTGCAGACATTAAGTAGCAGAATATTGTCTATTTTTTATGGCACAAACTACAAAAACTGTTTTGGCAATGTTATTAACGGTGGTTAATGTTTGCTTATGTATGTTTTCAAAGAGTAATAAATATTCTTTCAATTTTAGGTCAAGGTGGCCATGCATATCTTAAAGAGTGGCTGTGGTGGGCTGGGCTTCTTTCAAGTGAGTATGAAAAATATAATTTGCATTATATGACTTAAAGCAATGACTGTGTCATGGATGGCAGCAGTGGTTACAAGAAATGAGCAAGATAACATTGCTGTATAGTATAGACTTCCTGTCTGGTTATTTGATAGTTGCAGCCTTGAAGATTTTTGACAACTTCTCTCGCATTAGAAGCTCTCCTTAACTTTTTTTTTTTTCTTTCATGTTGGGCAGTGAAGCTAGGCAGACTTCTTGTTTGGCTTGCACCAGCATATGCTCTTTTGTTCCACAAAATATGTTAATAGAGACTTTATATTCTGCTTTTGCTGCTAGCTGGACACTGTAATTAAACTTTCCTTTGTTGCTGCCACATGTTTGTGTCTGCGGGAGCACTTGCTGTGATTCACAGACTTCTTAACATTATTATTATTATTACTCTGCAGTGGGAGCTGGTGAAGTAGCCAACTTTGCTGCCTATGCCTTTGCACCAGCTACATTAGTGACTCCTTTAGGAGCTCTCAGTGTTCTTGTAAGGTAAGAAATCTAACACAAAGTGATGTGATTTCAGAGAGAAAAGAAAGTCCTTTCTTTGGAATGTGTGTCACTGAAATATGCTGCAATAGATGCAGTTAGTTCTTTGTGAGTGAAGAATGCAGATTTCAAATCTCTCAAAATATGACGTGATGTGCTGCTCCAAAATAGTTGTAGCGATGCATCTCCACCTCGACCTGTGAAAACATCTTCTGCATTTCAAAACCACTTTGTATTACAGAAGGATAGTATTTTTGTTCCTAGCTAAAGTTTTGTCTTTGAAAGATCATTTTATGCGTACCTAGATACATAAGTGTATAATATTATCCATGCAGTGTTTGAGGAGCATAAGGAAAAAATATCCTGTGGAGATGCCAAATATTAGGGGTAGTTCTGTCTATAGCAAGTATCTTGAGGCAGTTATTTTAAGTATATGCTTAATTAGTGGATTTGTCATAGTTTTTCCAGCTCCCTGAGAGCTTCACATGAGAGTATACAAGTGATATGTGCAGCCAAAATAACCTGCAAGATGATAAGCAAATTAATGCAGTATTACTAATTGCATGCTTGCTGATGTGTTTTGTTTTTTTTCTTCTTAGTGCCATTCTGTCATCCTACTTTCTAAATGAAAAACTTAATCTACATGGAAAAATAGGGTGTTTGCTAAGTATCCTGGGATCAACTGTGATGGTGATTCATGCTCCTCAAGAGGAGGAAGTAGAAACTTTGAATGAAATGTCCCACAAATTAGGTGATCCAGGTAAGAAAAATGTTGGTTTGATCTCTGTGTAGGTAATACAGGAAGACTTGTATACTGCATATTTGCTAAGCAGCCCATAATTTCTCTGTTGTAGTTGCATTGCCACTGCTTTCAAGTTCCAGGAAGACAAGTCCATGTCTTTATTCATGTCCAGCTTTGTTTATGTGGTCAAAATGAGGTAGAGACCTGAGTTCTGAGACAAGTTCTTTAGGGAACTTGGCATGTGATCTTTCCTGGCTTTGAATGAAGTGTCTTGGTGTCTGGTGAGATTACAGTATCCAGCCATGCTGCTGCATTTGCTTGAACCACAGAAATTACGGTATCCAGCCATGCTGCTGCATTTGCTTCCAGATATATATTTATATGAATTTTAACTGAAATGTGTCAAGTCTCTAAGCTCCTTTGTGAGCTATTCTTAAAATGAGTAAGTCTGTTCTGTCATAGACGTGTGTCTGCTGAGAAGCTCTCTCTTTGAGACCACCTGCTACTTAGGTGGAAGAAGAGACACTTGCAAATACGCACATGCAAAACACTATATATGCAAAGACTATATTCAATTTAAACATGTGAACAGGTCTGGCACATAGATTAGAAAATGTGACGGTAAGGGCTGGCCTGATGATGGGAAAGCAGGGGTGAGTGCAGCAGCCTGTGCCCTCCCCGGAGCCTGTGTGGAGGGAATGTAGCTGTCTAACCTGCTAGTGGCCATGCTGGCAGGTGGCAGTTTGACATGCCTTTCATTCTTACGTTAGCTTAAAAACTTGGGTATCAGCTTTGATATTGGAGGAGTAAAAAAAAAAAAAAAATCACTGAGTTTAGGTGCTTGTGTTGAGCCAGTCAAGTGTGGGCTTCATGTGCTTTCTTGGCACACCCCTCAAAAGCTTCTGACTGAGCATGCTTGTAAGTAACAAGATGTTTTTTTTCCCAACTGCAGGTTTTGTGGTCTTTGCAACGCTTGTTGTCATTGTGTCTTTAATTCTCATATTTGTGGTGGGACCTCGTCACGGACAGACCAACATTCTGGTGTACATAACCATCTGCTCTGTCATTGGAGCCTTATCAGTCTCCTGCGTGAAAGGTTTGGGCATCACCATAAAGGAACTTTTTGCAGGAAAACCAGTGCTGAAGCATCCCTTGTCGTGGATTCTGCTGCTAAGCCTTATTGTCTGCGTGAGCACGCAGATCAACTATTTAAATAGGGCCCTGGATATATTCAACACGTCGATAGTGACTCCCATCTATTACGTGTTCTTCACAACATCCGTTCTGACGTGTTCCGCTATCTTGTTCAAGGAGTGGCAGCACATGGCGGCTGATGACATCATTGGCACCTTCAGTGGCTTTCTCACTATTATCGTGGGGATCTTTTTATTGCATGCCTTTAAAGATGTTAGCTTCACCCTGGCAAACCTGCCCGTCTCTCTGCGCAAGGAGGAGAGAGCAGCAAACGGTACTTTGCTGGGCACCTACGACTGCTTTAATCATGATGAGGAAAGCCCTACGTGTGCGGGTGAAGTGCAGTCGCCCGAGAGTCTCGCGGCCCGCAGGAACGGAAGCCTGGCAGCCTTCTGAAAGGATCTGCGTGTCAAGAAGCAAAAGAACAACTCTGTAACTCTGGATTTTGGGTTTTTTTCCTGCTGTGAAACGTCTGAGCTCATCTAGGAACTGATGTACTTTTTAACGGTATGTGTAGACAATCGTTAATTTTTGAGTTTGATTAGTTTGGACCAAGAACACACTGATGGGATTTTTAATTTGCCTTATTTTTACTTCTAGTATACTAAAAGGATCTCAGACCACAGTTGGGTTCATTGCTTAAGTTATGTGTAAATACTCATTTCACTCTTCTGTTTTAAAGATGTATTGCACTAATGACAATTTTATCAAAATAAATTGCTTTATTTCTGCATTGGTGGTAAAATGTGAAGCGAACCTCTATCCTTTTGCCTTGTAGCTCAATGAAGAGAGAGACCAAACATATGAAAAGAAGCTGTACTTTGTCCCAGTTTGTGAAGGAGGAAAGGCAAAGCTACAGCCAAGCAAGACAAAGATCAGGATAGCACTACCTGCAACATATAGAGCTGTGTATTTAAAATGGGAGGGTTTACAGGACTCCCAACAACCAAGCCCTTCTTTGCCTAGTTCAAGGGGCTGGGTGAGGTGAGCAGCACAGCAGCGGCTCCTGCCCTGCTTGCAGGGCTGAGGGGGGAGCTTGGAGGTTCGTGCCCGGTGCTACAAGAGCAGAGATGTGAGCGGGGCACAAACAGCCCCTGATGAGGGCAGGGACAAAGGGAGAAACCTCAGTGAGCCCCTGGTGCCGCTTCAGCTCCACAGCGGCCACCTAGCAGAGGGGCAGTCGAGTGCCTCACCTGGCAGGGGCTCTTTATGTTGTAGCAGATGATTTGAGCTCCAGCAGCACATGAACTAAAACAAGTAATAGGGGTGTGTATGGGAGGGCAAGGAGCTGCTCTCAAACCTGATTTTGTTACAGCAGTTCATAAACACGGCTTAATCTACTCCTGTATTCAAAGGCTTAACATTTTCAGTCTAATATCCTGAAAGGAGAAAAATTATCCACCTTTGAAAGCCTAAAATAAATACTTCATAGGATTGCAGTATCTTTAAAAGTTTTTGGGTCTTACTTATGAAAAGGAAAACAAAAGTGATCTTAAACTACATTTTCAGAGCAGTAGTTCTGCTATATTAGAATATAGTTATAGTTAAGTATTGCTGCTACTTAACCTGCAAGAAAGAGTTGCAATTCAGTCATAGGAGTCTTCATTATTTTTAAATACTTACTTAAAGCAGAGGCCAGGCTTCATTAACCACTCAAGCCCTGCAGTGCCAGCCTTACGCCTCAGGCACCCACGATGCATCTGTAACCCATCACAGTCACTTAATTTGTTCATTTCCCTGAAGCCTGAAGCAGGGCAAATGTTTGGTTGATCAGAAGTCATGTTGGCAGAGCGTTGTGCAGACCAAAAAAAAAAGTTGCTTAAAACTGTCAAAGCAGCATCTTGTGGAATGAGTGCTGAAACCCGTGTTGTAACCAAGCACCTGTGGCCCCTGTGTCCACCTGAGTCTCCCACCCTCAGTAATGGGTCCCTACTTGTTCCTGCCACAGCACAGGGCCTTGCAGAAAGGCACCTCTTGAGGGCATAATCCTGGGAAAACTGTCTTCTCTTTCCACAAGACGATTTCCTGCCCTGCCCCTTCCTCTGCTCCTGCCTCCATCCCATAAACCGCTTACTTACTTTCACCCACAATGGATTTAATGCTGGTGGCCGGAAACCTCTGGAAAGAGCTGAGCAGGAGAAAAGGATGTGCCAAACCAGACTTTACACGAGCATGAGGGGCGAGAGAAAAAAAAAAATCTAGTTCAAAAAGCCCGGGGCTCGCTCTTAGATTCTTCTGCACCGTACTGGTTAGAGCATAGCTCAATATCTGCATCTTGGCTAAAACCAGTGATTAACTCTATGTGCTTTCTCCAGCCCTTTTAACTTACGTTGGTTTTGATAAGACAGTTTGGGCTTGACCCTAGCAGTTAAGTGATGATGGTGTAAGTTGAAACATAGGAAGTTTAACCTCCATATGAGGAAGAACTTCTTTCCTGTGAGGGTGACAGAGCCCTGGAACAGGCTGCCCAGAGAGGTTGTGGAGTCTCCTCTGGAGATCTTCCAAACCCGCCTGGATGCCACCCTGTGCCACGTGCTCTGGGTGTCCCTGCTGGAGCAGGGGGGTTGGACTAGATGATCTCTAGAGGTCCCTTCCAACCTCAGCCATTCTGTGATTTTTTTTTTGTGATGATGCAGCACCAGTGAAAATGTTCTGTAATATCCTGCAAGAGGTCTTAAAGCTGTACGTTAGCATCTCCCTCTGTGTCTGCACAGGTTGCTTTAAAAGGTAAGTAAGTAAGTTTTACAAACAAGGGGAATGATGGGCTCTTTGCATAATACAGAAAGTATAGTTAAACTCATAGTCTCCCTGGGTAAATCATGATTAATTTAAGCTTAGGTACTGGTATACGGCTGCTCACTGTGCTCGAGAGTCTCCTGAATGTGACCTCCTACCAATCAGCTGCAAACACGTAACGTGGGAGGCAAGTATGCGCAGGGTCACTAGAAAAATAAGCCAGCAGCCCCCACTTTTTGAGTTATTAAACTAACTGTTACCTTTTTCTAAGCTCAGAATACTCTCAGTCACCTCCATGGTAAGTAACTTCTTTAAAAAAATGATCACTCAATAATTAGCTTTCAGTTCCCTAATTATTCATAACAATATACTAGTTTTGCAAAGAGAAAAACATAACTGACTACAAAATTATTCACAACACACCAGTACTGTTTTCTGTTTTTTTAATAAAGGCTAATTAAGCAATTAATGCTCTAATACAAACACTTAGGAATTGATTTCTAAAAAATTTTCTATAGAACCCAGTTTCTCCTCCTCCACAGCTATTTATTATTTTGATAGCTGACAAGGAAAAAAAAATGCCAGTCCAGCTTCAAATGGCCACCTCAGCACTGGAATGCAAAGAGATTTCAAAGAAACACTCTTTTTTTTTTTTAAACATTTGCAGGCATTTAATCAAGTATATAAAATTTTAGTCTAGAAAAATAAGTATGGATTGTATATAGTTACTGTGCTTGGAGACCGAAGAGGGCAAAGCACCACTCAAATGGCACAAGTATGCTGAAAAAGGCAGATGAGATTATTTCTTAGAACTGTTGATTTTGCTTTTTTTTTTTTTTTTTTCCTTTCTCAATCTTTTAGTCTAAATAGGTGGAGAAAAATACTGTAACTAGAACAGGAAGGGGAAGTCTAGTTGCTGGCCAGGGACTGATGAATAGGAGGCTGGAAGCAGCGCACGTGCTCCACGGGGGTGCTCTCTCCATCGCCAGACTTCAAATACTTGTCCAAAATAGCGATTATTTCATCATTCAAAATCTGGAACTTGCGAATTCTCTCAACCATCTTCTTCAAAGGCTGCAAGCATAAAAAAAAAAAAAAAGAATTAATTTACAGACAAAAAGCTTTAGTCAAAAAAATACACATCAAATGCTGTTATCTCACCCCTCACCACAACGTTATGTTCCCCTTCCACTGCTAATCTAGTGAAAAACAATGTAAAAAAATGCAGCAAGTATTCTGGTTTTTGATAGTGCTGCTTTTTGTACCCAAAAGGGCAATTTAGAGCAACCTTGTCCTATTCGGATGCATGTATGTGAGATGGGAAGTGTTAAGAAAATACCAAGCAAAAATTAACTGCTTCAAGCTCCAGCAGTAGGGCTTCATTTTCTCCTCAACGCCCCGGTGCTTTAATTTTCAACCTTCCACCCAGAAAGTGAGCGCCAGGAGCTGCAGTGCAGCTGCTCTCAAACAAGTCTTTTTTGCCATTGCTCCTGCAGTGAACGCAGAAGAAGCGTTTCCAACATACCACGTTTTTTATGACCTCGTCTTTGCCGTCGTGCTTTTGCACTTTGAGCAGGTGGTAGCAGAAGTCGAGCACGTCGAAGCGCCGCTGCTGCCCCAGCAGCACGATGATCATGCAGCCAGCCCAGTGCAGGCCGTCTCCAAAGCACTGCCTGCAAGAGACAAACACAGAGAGGCTGCATCTCCCCTGTTTTTCTCAAAAGCGTATCCATAGGAAATGCTGAATACATCAGCCATTATGCTAAAATACATGCATGTGTCACTCTAGAATATGCCAGATGTTAACCTGTGACATCTCCAATAGATAGAGCTCTCTCTGCAGATAGTGCAAGTGCTACAAATAAATGCTTAACAACATAGGGCTCCCCTCACCTGATTTTATATGAGTTACAGTTATTCCAAAAATATTTACTTCCCATCAGTCTCCATCAGCATCACCATTACAAAAGGACACCAAGCAGCAGTTTATCACCACTGCGCTCTCTTGGGCTGCAGAGACCAAAGGCAGCAGAAGTCCTAGGTTGCTGCCTCCATAACTGGGCAGGGAAAAGCACGTTACAGCGCAATGCTTTTTTCAGAAACAAGGATTTGCTAAAAACTAACAAAACTCAGAACAAAACTGCCGTGCTAACGCCTAAGTGCTCATTCTTGCTCTTAACTCTCACAAGGAAATATCTGCAATAACTATGTGCCCACACTCTCAGCGTCCCGAGCGCGTTCGCCACCCCAAGGCACGTGCCAGGACCTCCTCGTCCCGGTGTCACGTGTTACGTGCAGGAACTACTCCAGGTAGCTGCCCCTCGTCTCTACGGATGCAGCGGTCCCGGTGCTCCGGCAGCGCCTCCCGCGGGGCTGCCCGGAGCTCAGACGAACTGCATGGCGCTCCAGAGGCGGTGGAACTCCACGCACTCGTCCACGTGCATGACGCCGTTGCTGGGCAGGGGCCCGCGCCAGATGGGGTCGTCCAGGAAGGAGCGGATCCTCGTCAGGATGACCTCGAACATGGAGAGGCCGCAGCAGAGGCGCTCCTTGGTCAGCAGGTCCCCCTCGCGCGCGATGGCGATTTGCTGGGGGCGAGAGGGAGGGAGAGGAGGAGGGAGAGAGGATGTTCACGTCGGGCATCGTCCTTCCAGGGAAATTCAGTTCAAATGACAGCTCAAAGAGTGTCTGGTTTATTGGCCGAGAGAAAAGGAACAGTATCTTGCAAAAAATCGTTATGCCCCACACAAAGAACCATTACTCTTAGTGCACTAGGAACCCACAGGTTGCCTCTCGCTTTTTACGCTGAGGGAATCACCTAATATACACAAACATTAACATTTTCCCCAAAACATATCACCAAATATTCTAAATATATTCTCACATATTCTAAAATGTGGCACTCTAGCACCTCTCCTGAACACACATATCCAATGCAAATCTTTTTACATGAACAACTCCGATGTGCAGGTTGAAGCTCTGACACAGGCAACAGCAACACGCGAAAAATCGGGGGTTTTAGTGCTCAGAAATTTCCCGGACTGTCTCCGACACGAATAAGTCGTATTTACCTGGGGGGTTCCCAATCTCTCAATGAGAGGAACTAGGTGCAGCGGAGCGTACTTTGACTCTAGTCTCTTCATTTTAGCATCAAGTCTTTCACCCTCTAAAAGCAAAAAGGAAGAAAAACAGAGCCCTCTTTCATTTAATTGGTAGCTTACTTCATTTTTATAAATTGGAATTAGCGGAAAAAATCCTTATTTTAATCGAAATTTTATTCAGCATGGAATAAAACTGGGCAGGCTGATATTTTAAGAGGCAATTTCCGCCCTAAGTAGCTGGTTACCCTTCAATATGCTTTTAGAAAAATACATAATTGAAAGATTACATTGTGCCTGCAAACAAAAAGAATTCAAGGATTTGTAGTGGGATACGTTAAATTAATTAACTGGATTGATGACAGAAAACAATACCCTCTTATGCTGCTGCTAATGCCTTTGACTCCCACTTGTGCTAAGCCAACTAAATTATCCTAATCGTACCCCAAACGCTTGACTCCATACAGCGGGCTCTAATGAGGACGGAATTTGCGTAGAGCAACAAAAGCTGCTCCAGAAAGCAGCTGGCACCCCCTCGTCGCTGGCAAGCAGGGGATGTTCCCTGCTCCCTGTGCACTCCGGTTGAGGGAAAAAGCACGTGGAAAGTGAGCCGGGAGGAGCCTGGTGCTTGCTGCTGGCTCCAGAGGAGCCTCCAGACGCCTCTTGTGACCAAGTCTGCCCAGTGCCATGGAAAAGCGTGAGCGCCCAACGCCTCCCGCTGCTGCGCGTCGCACCAGGCAGCCCCTCGCCCCGGTCACCGCACTCGTGACGCCCGCCTGGCGCTGGGCACGCGCTCTGCCACCCACCCCCGCGGCTCTCTACGGAGTGTCTGGGTGGGAGAGGCCCCTGTCGTAAACCCCGCAGCAGCAGCAGCGGGAGGGAGGGCAAGCGGGAGGCGGTGCCGCGGGAAGGGGGTTCCCTCCGCCCGTACCTTTGACGTGAACCCTCGGCAGGATGTTCTGGAAGGGCGCCGCGTGCAGCAGGTCACACACCTCCTCGAGCGACTGCAACGGGAAGGAAACGAGAGGCGCTTAGGCACAAACACCCCCTGAGCGCCACAGGTACCCGAGGGGCGACTGTGCAGGGGCAGCCAGGAGGCCGCGGCCGCAAGGGCAGAGGGCAGCAGCCCCCGGGGCCAGAGCCACGCGGCCGCCCCACGCACTGCCCCGCGCCGCTTCCCAAGGCTCCTGGATGTCAGCAGCTCCCCCTGAATTCACACCAAGGTCCAGCAGCTTCCCCCCACCCTCAGCTGCGGGTCTTAAGGGGCGGGATATTCGTCAGCAGGCCGAGTTGAGAAGGGGCGATGTCAGGGTGGAGGTGGCAGACGCTCTAGCGCAGGCAGCAGGGGCATGCAGGCCAGGACTCGCTGCTCACGTGTTCTCACTGCACCCACGAGCCCTTGGAACATCACCCGGCAAACGGGGCCAAGACGCATGAGGGCAACAGCGAGCGGCCCATGCGGAGCCAGACAGATCCTCACCAGGACCGCAGAGACGTCGTCTCGGGCCCCTGCCTGAGGCACGTGCAGGGGAACCACGAACACGGCCCTGTGCTCCATTTGGTCTGGGAGCACCAGCCGCTGCCTGTGTTAGAGGGGACCAGGGACAGAAGGGGAGGCCCCTCGCCAGGCAGGGGGTGGTACGAGGAGCGCCGCCACCACGGTGTCCGGAAGGGCCCCTCGGGGCCGGGGCGCCCGGGGGCTGACAGGGCCTGCGCCACCCGGCTCCGCGCAGTCACCTCGCTGCTCTCCAGGGCGTCCGTGACCCCAGTGCTGAGCGTCGCCGCGCCGCCGTCTCCCGGCCCTCCCACACCCACCAAAACCCAGCCAGGCCTGCTGAAGCCAAGGAAAGGGCCCCGAGGAGCAGTCCGTCTTCAGCATCTTATCCAACACTGACAGTTCTAATACTCCCTGGGAAAGGGGGAGCCTTATATTCACATTTATTTGGGTGCAACTTTATTTGTTTGGCCCCGGGCAGCCTGCAGAGGTTGGAAGGGACCTTGAGAGACCATCTAGTCCAACCCCTGCTCATGCAAGGACACCTGGAGCACCCGGCACAGGGTGGCATCCAGGCGGGATCCATCGGATGGTCACGTGCATCCGAGCTGGCTCCCTCGAGCCGGCCCCAGGAAGGAGGACAGCGTGCTCGTCGGCCCACCCGGCCCTCAGCGAGCACCAAGCAGCACAGGAAGGAGAAATCACAAGCGCGGCCGACTTGTGCGAACAGGAGATTGCAAAGACCAGACAGAAGAGCAGGAGAACACGGCAGCAGGGGGGACGGGCGGCCATGGCCCTGCGCCCATGGGAGCGGGCGGCTCTGCAAGGCGAGGGCAGAGCCAGGCCCCGGGAAGCAGCGGGAAAGCTGCAGGTGCCCTCTCAGGC